TTTGATAAGTTGTTCAATTTAGAATTCAAATTAATTTAAGTTTGACTTAAATTCGAATTTGAATTAAAATTAGACTACAGGATAAATGATGATTTCTCTTCCTTCCCTATCTGTTTTTGACGCCACACACAAAGGAGAAAATCCCTATCATGGCCGGCCACTAGAGGATAAGGTGCAAGGGATTTTTTTGTTCCAAATTCAAATAGGAGATAGAGATTTGATTCTGTTTTGAAGTTTGACTTCTACTCTTTAAATATGAGAATGATAGAAAATTGTGGAGATAATTTTTGGAAAACAATTTTCTGCCCTAAGAGTTAAGGTGGCTGAATTTTCTCAAAGGAAGAGAGAGGAAAAAATTTTTCTCCCAAAAAATTCCACATTGTGCATGCGTTGGTGTTTGTAGAAATTTGAGTGTTTTTGAAACCTGTTTTGTCTCACGTGTGCCCACACACACGTCTATGTGGAATCAAGGAATCGACGTGGAAGACTTTGGTTTTCTAAACACAAAGCTTGGAGCAAGGACTATTCGTGGACAAAGAACTCAAGTTATCATCCGAGTCGGCTTCCAGGTATTTTTCCTGATTGAGTTCTTGATATATATAAATTAATGTGATTAATTTATTCGTGCATAAATTAATATAATCTATAGAGTATCTCAAAAGTTTTCTGAAATTTTTGTTATACACGATCCGCCTCCCCGCCACGTTTCCGCAGCCGAATTCGATTCGGCAACCAACAGTTAGAGCTTTGCAATACTGCACCATAACTAGACTTGATCTCAACTTAGCTATTGGCAAAGTTTGTCAATATATGCATGCTCCTACATCATCTCATTGGGCAGCAGTCAAACGAATTCTTCGTTACTTGCGCGGTTCACTTTCCTATGGCATAACCTTTCAGGCCCCCTCTGATTTCGATGTCTCTTGTTTCACTTTTTCACTGATGTCGATTGGGCCTCTAGTTCATATGACCGCAGAAGTACTAGTGGCTATTGTGCTTTTCTTGGACCCAACCTCATCTCATGGTCTTCCACCAAGCAACGTGTAGTCTCTCGAAGTAGCACTGAGTTTGAATATTACAGTCTCGCTAATGCCGGAGCTGAAGTCTTATGGCTGCGCATTCTTTTGATTGAGCTTCAGATTCCTCTCATTCCTGCGCCAGTGCTCATTTGTGATAATATTAGCGCACTTCATCTTGCAGCCAACCCCGTGCTTCATGCTCGCACGAAGCATATCGAGATTAACTACCATTTTGTTCGTGAACGAGTTATGGATTAGACTCTCACTGTTGAATACACTCCCTCTAATGATCAGCTTGTTGCTATTATGACTAAGCCTCTACCTTCTAATCGGTTTCTCTCTACGCAACAAGCTCACTGTGGTGCCTCACCCTATTCGCTTGAGGAGGGATGTTAGAATACAAAATAATTGTGTACAGCTAAATGTATAGTACTATGTATAGAACTTGCCAATTTTATTAGTCTAGATGCATGCCATGTATATAATTGATTATTTCGTACTAGCATACTAAGTATAAATAATATATTTTACCCTCAGCTCTAATTGAGCTAGGTTTTCCTTATTTTCTCATCTCCGCATCCTTCTTTTCTATACCTACACCATACTTTCCTTTTAAAAGTTACCTCCTAAAATAACTCTAGCAAACAATCCGCTAAAATTAAGTGTAGCAGAGTACCCCCAAATTGATGAGGGTATTTTGTAAAATAATTATTCTTTCATTACATTTCAATATATCCAACGTTTAACCAAATATTAGAATTGAAAAGAATCGTTCATTCAATTATTTTCTAATTTCATCATATTTCTATTCTTTTTCTCACTCTACTTCTATATTCTATATTTCCACAAATTCGGCTAGTCCATAAGCTGTGATAAATGGAGAAAAATGCAATCACTGTTGATTGTCGAATAAAATGCTAAATTATTTAAACTTTTATTGAATATTTTCATAATTTTTATTCATAATATTTTTATTAGAAATGTTTGGTTTTAACTTATTTAATTACATATTTAGGAAGTAGTGAGACCCAGCTGTCGGTCATTTACTCCACCAGCCATTTCTTCTAATTTTCACTTGCCACGTGGCCATTCAGCATGCTGAAGACTTCTCACTCCGGATTTCAACGGCAAATTAGTGCTGAAATTTTCGTATTTGTACTTCACCCAAATTAATTTCTCCAAATTAATTGTAATTTTATTTTATTTATTTTTTCTTTGTGATTTGTTTCAGTTTTCCATTTTTGTAATTTATTTCCTTAATTTCTAATAACAAAAACTATAAATAGGGATGTGTGCTTAGCTTTATTTTTCATTCAAGAATTGAGATAAATTTCTAAAATTAAAGTTTTATTATTTTCAATTTTTGCTTTCATTTTCTTATCTTTTTGCTAGTGTCACACAATTGACAGGAGACTAAGTAACGAGTAAATCAAATCTTCTCATCTTTTATTTTATTTTAAAATATCGTGTGTCAAATTTTTATATAAGTTTAGTCATATTTTTCTTATATAATTTTATCATATAATGTTTTGATTAAAATTATTTTATAAGTTAAATTTTTACTGTAAAATTATCGAGAGATATATTGTCAATTTTAAATAACTTATAACAATAATCTTCGTGGAATTAACGTGAGGGTTGAATTTATTCTTTCGCTTGTTTCTTCTAACGTTTTATTCTTTCGCTTGTCTCTTTTAACTTTCATTTTCTATTAATTTATTTTGTTTGTTATTTTTCACCTCCTCGTGAAATTGACTGACCATTCTGTGCTAGAAACGACCCTTTAAGAATCCAATTTGGGCGTTAAACAAATTTTAGCGCAGATTAGACTTACCTTTAACCAAACTTCCTTTCTTCTCACCTTTTTTTTTTTTCTTTTCCCTTCAGGACTCGGTGATGTCTCTCTCCTATCCAAAATTGTTTGATAAGCATAGCATCATCAAGGGGCGGAAAAAGTGCCAACAAGCCAAAAGCAAGGATTACAAAAGAGCCAAGCCTTATTTTTATACCATGCCAAAATTAAGATCAGTCATATGACATTGACTAACTGAAAAATACAGGATAAAGCAAGATAATCCAGAGGTTCTCATACCCTCTAAGAAAGCTCAAGGAAAAATGGCCAAAAACTGATTTTTAGTGCTCTGAAAGCAACATTGCATAAAATAAGGACTCAGAAAGTAAAATATAGGCTCAACTTGTCACTGCCTCACATAGCAATATTGGTCATCTGCGAGTACCACATCATTTCACTACGCAGATCTTAATCACAGAGGATGTTCCAATACGATGAAGTGCCACAACTGCATCACCAGGCTTACACAGCCCCCTCTCAATTGCAGATTTCAATGCAGCTTCCAAGATCACCTCGGTGGATTCCGCATCGGTGGCCTTAGCTGATCCTTCGGCCAGTAGGGGAAGTAAACCCCTGTAAATCAGGCTGTGCCTTGCGGGAGTCTCATCGCTGCAGGTCCAATCAAAAGAGTCTGTTGTCAACACTGGAACAACAACAGAGAGGATTGGAACAGCTGGCCTATATTTGGCTACCAATTTGGCAGTGGTCCCGCCACGCGTCATCACAACAATGAGTTTCGCTTTGGCTTTGTTAGCTGTTCGCACAGCTGAGGATGCAAGACTCTCCAATGGGCTCATTGGAAGAGGAGTTGACCTAATCATTTCCTTAAAGATTGCTCCATAGTCAAGAGAAGATTCTGCCTCAATACATATACGGGCCATGATCTTCACAGCAAGTTCTGGATAGGCCCCAGCTGCACTCTCACCACTAAGCATAACACAATCAGTTCCATCAAGCACTGCATTAGCTACATCAGTAGCTTCGGCACGGGTTGGCCTTGGAGACTTGATCATGGACTCAAGCATTTGGGTGGCAGTGACAACAGGCTTACCCACAAGATTACACTTGTATATCATCATTTTTTGGGCCAGGAAGATCTTCTCAACCGGAATCTCCATTCCAAGATCACCACGAGCAACCATGTATGCATCAGTCTCGCGCAAGATCTCGTCAAAGTTGATAACTCCCTCCTGGTTCTCAACCTGAGGAAAACCACAAAAACATAGATGCACTAGTTGCTCAAGAAAATTGCACGTTTTAATCAGATAATCCAATAATCTAGATTTCCCACCACGAAAGTTCAAAAAGATTTCCCAAGAAAGCAAACCTAACATCTCCATACCTTTATCACCATATTACTATACTGCAAATCAACAACATGGGAAAACAAGCATAACCCCAAATCCATGAGAGATCATGGGTGCAAACATAGCAAAAGAAACTGCATACATGATTCATGAATGTGCATATAGAGAGAGAACAGGCAAAGATAAGCTGTCAAATAAGACACTAAAATCGAGCCAAAAAAATAAATAAGTAACCATAACGGCATACTTCACTTGGTACAATCTAAAGCAAGCCTTCCTTTACTCATAAAACTCACAAATTAAGGTTTGCAGAATGCAGATCCATGATCCCTCACACACACACACACACACATTTAGAACAGAGGACTAATGTCTAACATGTTACTGGCTAACACACACACATTCAGAACAGAGGACTAATGTCAAACATGTTACTGGCTACATGCTATCTTACTAAATAACATCTGAACAAGTAAACATACCTTTGACATCAACATAATACGCTTGGCATGGGACCCAAGAACCTTACGAACATGTACAAGATCTGATCCCTTGCGTACAAAAGACAGGGCAATCATGTCAATTCTGTTAGGAACACCCCATTGAAGAATATCTTCCTTGTCTTTCTCAGTTAGGGTTGGAAGATCCACCACAACACCAGGAAGGTTAACATTCTTTCTCTCTCCAAGCATTGCAGTGTTCTCACAACGGCACCTCACAGTCCCGGCTTTTGGGTCACAAGACAAGACAGTCAGGGTAATAGTACCGTCTGCGCATAAAATGGTATTTCCAGGCTTCAAGTCCACAGCCAGCTTTTGGTAGCTCATGGAAATCAACTCCTGATCTCCCTTGATGCTGTAATCAGTAGTAATGGTAATCTCCTGACCCTCCTTAAGTTGAATAGCCTTTCCATCCTTTAGAAAACCAGTTCGAATCTCAGGTCCCTGCAAGGACAAAGACAAATGAAAATTCCACCAGGAAAATATATAAATCTCGCTGTAACTAGCACTTGAAGCAAATGAAACATATAAGCCATGTCCAAAAGCGTCACAACCAAAAAACAAACAGTATCAACTATCAAATATCAGCGAGATAAAAAGAAAAAAAAAATTCAAATTTATATCATTTATAGCATTAGACATTCTAGATTTAGGCCTTTAGAAAAGTCTAATTTCGAACAGAGCTGAGTGGAAAAGTGAAATCCATATAGCCGACCCCAATTAAGTTGGAATTAAGGCTGGTTTATATCATTTATAGCATTGTATCCACAGAGCCAAAATTTGTCAAGGGAAAAAAGATGAAAGTAAATTACTCAAACAGATGAGTTCCCTTGGAAGCAAACCATGGACTTTTAAAGTGTCATCAGAACAAGTTGCAAGAGACGAAACAATGTTGTATGTTTTACAGATTTCTATTTATCAGGTTTTAACTGTTGCTTCTTCTGTTTATTTATTTATTTATTTTTATTTTTTTTAAAAAGAAGAGAGAGAGAATTAGATCGTGTTGAAATAAGACTGATTTTGAATCTCATGTTATCCAAACTCTTCAGAAACCCTGGTTAGGCTGTGCATGGAAAGCAGCTATGAATTCCATGCCTTGCATTTTCCCAGTTACCAAAATCATTCACAAAATACTAAGGCAGAGTTCATTATTTCATGTCAAACCAAATTCAATTAAATGAAAAATATATTCAACAATAGGATAAATTAATTAAATAGCTCACAGACCCAAAAAAAAATATGTAAAATTTTAAAAAATAAAAATAAAAATAAAAATAAAAACAGTTTTAACCTTGTCGTTAGGTCTGCCAGAAAACTCAGATTCAAGACCAAAACTTCCATTTTCGCAAGAAATTCACACAACATCTTTTCAAGATCGAGAGAGAAAGATAGGACCTTGGTGTCGAGCATGACGGCGCAGAGGATCTGAGTGTTGTGCATGGCGGTCCTGAGATTGTTCAAGGTCTCCTGGTGGTACTCGTGAGTTCCATGGGAGAAGTTGAAGCGAGCGACGTTCATGCCTGCCCGGAGAAGCTTCTCGACCATCTCCACCGACCGAGACGCCGGTCCCAGCGTGCACACGATCTTCGTCTTCGGCACTCGCCCATCGTTCGGGATCTCCTTCAGCAGTCCCTCTATGTCGATATTCGCCATTCCTCAACTCCAAACAAACACTCGTTCAGTGATGACTCAGTGAGTTGATGATCAACTCGTAAGCCCTTTTTTCTTCACTTTCCTAAGAAGGTAGGTAGAAGAATGAATCAACAAATTGAATGTATACACTGATTTGGATTCAGATTGGAATTTGGATTCTTCCTAAGTTTGTTTTTGTTGGTGAAATCGCAGAGATAATAGAGAGAGAAAAGAGAGAGTTTGAGAGAGAAAGTTAGAGAGAGAGAGAGAAGCAGAGCTTGAATTGGTGAGCTCGTGCGGAGCTTAAAGCTTACCTTTCCCTTCACGCTACAATCCACGCTTTGTTAGCTTGTTTTTGTGCGTTTCGGGAGACTTTGATATAAAAAATCGTATGATAGAATATAACGTATATATTATAAGACCATCACTGTAATATTTAGTACCATAAAATGTAAAATAATTTAATAAATAAATAAAATGTAAAATAAAATATTATATGTATTATTTTTTTATAAAAAAAATATTATTTTGATTTGTAATCCGGTGTATTACGCTATTTCGACCCGTTTAGTTCATGGATTAGAACCATTTTTAATTTACATGTGTTTTTTGTGAGAGAAAATACTGTAACGAATCATGAACCATGATTCAAATCAGGGAACGAATCCTCCAACCAAACGGGCTTACAAAACCACTCCTAAAAATAATCAAAATTGATTACAAAAATCGTCAAATACAATATTATTATTGGTGTTAAATTTAACATATATTATATTTAGTGATAAACTTAATATTTAATTACTATTAGTTCGATATAATAACTTTTTATTGATTCATCACAATATTGATATTCTCACATTATTTTAAATAAAAAATATACTTTTACAATTGCCAAAACTTAATAATGATAAATAGACATTTTCAGGGGAAAAAATATTATATGACATTGCATGGCACGCAGCATATTGTGTATAATTATCTATTAATTAATTAATCAACACAACTAATTAATTGTAGAATTGTGTCATTGAGATGGGCAACTTTTGTTAATTTTAATTTTGTAACATAAATTGTTAGGTTAAAATGGATTTTATATTCAAGTATAGTTCATTGTTTAGAGGTTGGCTATTATTTATTATTTTATTATGATGTCAACACATGCATATTTTTAGAGAAAACGAAACATTGCACTAATAAAATGGTATTTATCAAGAATAAAAGATAAAAGTTTAGATTCATACACTCTGTAAATTCTCCATTTTTTTTGAATAAAAAATTCATACTCATTCACTTAAAGGTAAGTTCAGCAATCTTTCAAAAAAAATGTAGGGGGTTAAGATCAACCCTACGTACTTTTTATCACATTTCTCCCTATTCTTTTTTGTTAAAAAAAAATGGTAAAACTGTTAAAGGTGAGTTTATTATTATTATTATTATTATTATTATTGAAAGTGAGTTTTAAAACCAGTTTCAAGGAGGCCTTTCTGTCTTTGGAATGATTATTCACCAAACGTATTTGTCCTGTGAAAGTTCAAAGGTCTTGTTAAAAAATTAGAGTATATGGAAGTGAGATTTCTGAAATTGACATTATATTATAATAATTAATAATATAATAATATAATAACAACAGCAGCAAGATTGGCCTTTGGTGTTTGTCTACTTTTCTTTATTGTTTGTTTAAATCGAAAGGAAGAGAAGAAAAAACTCAAATGACCGCACACAGACTGAAATAAACAACTTTTCTACCCTCATAAAATAAAGAAAAAAATTAAGATGACGTTTGTTTCTTATATTCGTCATTGTTTTTGAATCATGATTTATAATTTTTTACAGTGTTTTTTTTTTTACAAAAAATACACATAAAATGAGAATGATTCTGAATCATGATTCTGAATACATAAACTAAACGTCCTCTAAATCTAACTTCCTAAATTCCGTGGGTGTTTAATGGATTTGATTTTTTTTTTTTCAAAAGTGGGAACTCTCTCAACATTGAAGATAGCATGAGTTCGAATTTACCATTAAGCTATTGTCTACAATCACATTAAATGAATTTTTTTATGTTAAAAATTTAACAAGGCAAAAATGTAATAGAACAAATGTTCTAAATTCTAACAAGAGGCTAAAACAGGAATTTTATTTTATTTTCAAAACGACAGGTCTCCTGTTGAATGGTTAAAAACGACCAAAAAAAAAAGGGGAAAAGTGAGGCGTGGGACCTCTTACGATGAAAGTTGAAAAGTAAAAAAGAGAATATGCGAAGGCACATTTACAAGTGGAATTTGCTTTAGAGATTGTGGGTTTGACCGGTGAGTGGTCCAAAGCAGCATGCCCTTACAATTCCATTTGCTGCTGCCGCTGCTTCAACTGACCATGTGCGCCCCTCATTTCAAGCAATGCTCCCCCTAAAAGCCTCAAACACTTAGGGCTCGTTTAGTTTATTAATTTAAATTTTTAATTTGAATTAAAATATAATTTTATGTGAAAATTTTTTATTGTAATAAAAAAGTTATATATGATTATTTCTGAGAACTTTTTACTGTAGTAAAACTCGAATCGGTGAAATGAACAGGGCCTTAAAAAGACCCGTTTAAATTGACTTATTTATGTCCCGTTCATTTTACCGATTTGAGTTTAGAATTCGAGTTATATTACAGTAAAAAACTCTCAGAAACAGTCAAATTTAACTTTTTTATTACAATAAAAAGCTCTCACATAAAATTACACCTCAACTCAAATTAAAAACTCGAATCAGCGAACTAAACGAGCTCTTAGTTTCAAAACTGTTTTTAAAACTGCTTCGATGGACAACATAAGTGTTTTAAACTTTTTATATGCTCTTTTGAGATAAGTCACTTCCTGAGTAGTGTTTAAAAATAAAAATAAAAATAACTTATGAAAAGCTTTCTTATTTACCTTTTTAACCTTTTATATGCAAACAATAAATTAAAAATTCTATTCATATCCATCTATTACAATATTTTTTATAACAATAAGAGTTTTTGACTTATTTACTAAACATGTTCAAAAGCTCTTATGAAATAAAACAGCTCTTTTTCATGTTCTATCCAAATACTAACTAAAAAGTCTTGACTTGAGTTTCTCTTCTTTTACTCCTTAAAAGTAAAAGCACAAATTCTTTCAACCGGACCCTTAAATTCCAACACACAAGTTAAAGTCTCAACATTTTAGTTGCTAACTTTACATATTAAAGTTGAAAAAAGAAAACAAAACAGAAACTTTTTTTTTCTTGTAATATGTTGGTACCTTGTATTTTATCAAATTATTATATTGACATTTCAAAACCCACATCATACAAAAGAAAAACCATTACTTGTTCTTTTTCTTTGTTATTTTTTGAAATTTTCTGTATCAAAAAATTAATTGGACATTTTATTTAGAGGGCATAAAGCACATTTAAATATTTTTACCTTTTTATTGGAATAAAAAGGTAAATAGCATATTTTTAAAACATGTTTGAAGTAAATAACATATTTTTTTAAGTAAATAGAAAATATATTAATAAGTATTTTTACCTTTTTATTGGGATAAAAAGGCAAATAGCATATTTTTAAAACATGTTTGAAGTAAATAGCATAAACTTTATTAGTAAGTATTTGTTTATCTGGTGTAAATATACTCTAAGTAATTAGAGTAAATGAATTATTTACGTTAAGTAAACAAATATTTATCAATAATTATGGTACTTACGATTGAAAAATGGCAATTTAAGGTACTAACTTTGGCATTAATGTTGAGTAGGACCCGCATTGTATGAATGACGGGTCGAGTTGGATTCGTGTTCTCCTATGTGAGATTTTTGAAATGGTATACACATGCTCAAAATGGTGCTGGGATGAATTAGAAATTTATGTCTAATGTGTTGGGAATGATGTTTTTAAAGTATGAGATGTAATTTTAAATATTATTACTTATTTAATGATACATAAATTTCATTATTTATGTGCACGTATTGTTGTATACTTTATGAATATCATTAAATATGGTATATAAGTGTTGTATATTAGAAGATAATATTTAATGATAATAATTGAAATTAGTTCATAATGAATTTAATTAAAGTTCAGAATCTTTAATTAAAACATTATTAATACATGTCATTTTCATTAAGAATGAAACGAACTTATCCGTATCATTGATATTGAGAGATATCGGATGAATGTATTTTGCATAATGAGATTATGTAACACTGGGATAAGACACAATATGATTTTTTGATAATTTCAATTAAATATAAAAAATCTAATTGAATCTCTCGATGGTCATATATAAAATGATCTTAATTCTGAGTTATTAAGAGATTCATATTTAAGGATTTGTGTTTTTTGACTTACTCGATATAGATTTCAAGAGTACTAAATCTTATTCCTTATATCTTGGAGACACGACGAAATAGGCAGCGGAAAATGTTAATATTACAAGATGAAATCCATTCATTCTTGAGAAAAAACAGATAAATAATTCTCTTAAGTGTTGATTCAGTACTTGAATATGTAACGAGCTCGTATTCCTAAATTTATTTTTATGAATATATAATTCATTAGAGAATCCATGGGACTAAAAAAAAAAAGATGTAATTAAAGATGTTAAAGAATTTCACCTAACTTTAATTATGAATTATTTATTGAGTATTGATTTATATAAATAGTTTGGCAATAATTTGACAAGTTCAGGAAGTTAATTGCAAAAATTAAGAACATGTTTGGTATCAGTTCCATTTTCATTTTTTACGTTTTCCAAGACAAAAAACAGAGATTGAGGAAAACGTATTTGGAGGAAAAAAGTGAAAAAAACGAAAACAAAAACAATTTTCAATTTAGTGTAAAATAACTTAAGGCTCGTTTAGTTCACTGATTTAAGTTTTTAATTCGAGTTGATATGTGACTTTATGTGAGAGCTTTTTACTGTAACAAAAGAATTAAATGTGACTGTTTCTAAGAGCTTTTTACTGTAACAAAACTCGAATTCTAAACTCAAATCAGTGAAATAAACAGGACCTTAAAAACTGAAAATGAATTTAAGTCGTTTTTCATTTTCAATTTTAGGTGGATGCCTTTTTTTTTTGGCAAGTAAGTGTGACTTAAATGAACTAACGAAGTGCTTTTATATTAAAAATAAAAATTATATAACCAAACGAAATTTTAATTTTTTCTTATACTAAAAACAATCTCTTAATAAAACTACCAAATGTATTTTCAGAAACGATTTCTGTCTGAGATCGAAAACGTTTTCATTTTCAATTTCATATAAAAAATAAAATCATTTTAAAACTAATTCCAAACGCACCTTAAAAGTTTAGAGAGCAATTTGTTACGCCACAATAAGTTCAAGAGTAAATGTGCTAATAACCCCTTTCTAAAACTGCTTTTAAAAGTATTTCGATAATCTATCAAAAGTATTTTGATTTTTTAAAAGAACTTCCAATCAGACTACGAAACGAGGCTTCTAAAAAAGACTTATGACTAAACTTTAAAACTTATACCACAAACTAGACATTATAAATTTAATCCTACCACTTTTATTGCTTAATAAAAAATGGAAAAATAGTTTTGAACCATTAAGCTCTTTATCCTAAGCACTCACGCAAAAGCTCTGCCAACCAGCCTTAGATCTTAAAAATAGCGTTTCCGTCTATGTATTCACAAGCCTAAAGATAAACTCTAATACCCAAACTTGTGCTCTACTAATGCGTATTCCATGCATTCTTTGTTCTTACAGTTGATAGACACAATTAGTCCACATCTCTACCACTTAACTATCTTTATATATAAATCAAAATAGAATCGATGATAATCTGATTAAATTACAAGGTTTTGGATTGCAATGTAACGCTTTAGGCAATGTTTCAACTGGACAATCACTTTCCGCGTACAACAGCTCTCCCAGAAAATATTTTTACCACAACTCACTATGTTCAAACATGACAAGTGCTGCAACATTCAACCATCTTTCACACTCGTTTTGGTGGCACATATTGCACTCTCTCATCTTCGCATAAGTTCTGCAGCAAGTCAAAAGTGATTAGCCAAGACAGAAATGATACTCTATTCTAAAGAGAGATTCGACAGGTTCACATATAGCCGAATCTAAACTTAAAATGCAACCTCTGAAAATCTTTATAATATTGCAGATGCTGAATTTTCCGAATGATTTTAAAACCGAGATACAAACAGTACACTGAGATTAAAGAAACAATGCAGGTGTAATAATATACCAGACAAAACTATCATTCAATTGCCTCTAGTTTATTGATCGCTTGTAAATTTGGAACGAAAAATGAAAATGAAATATAAAGCAAGAATATAGAAGAATAACTTCTCCTTCTATCAACTTAAATGCTAAGAATCTAAATATCTAAATTTTTAAGCTTTTCTGTGAAGACGGCTGCCATCATCACTAAAAGAGGCATCATAAGCTTAGAATTTGCAATATGAAATGCAAAGAGTATGCTATACAATTCATGATAGTGAAAAGAAAAACATGGCATGCAAATATTTCATATCGGAATCTAATGTAACATTTATCGCCAGATAGACGTACATACTTTCAAATGCTACACATAATGTAAACAAGACATCCAAAATCCAAAACACCAAGGAGCAGTTCTTTTCAAACCCTAACTCAGGATAAACTAGGGAGAGAAGCATGTCATTGCAATCAAAGAGAGAAACAATTAAAGGGCCCACGGAAAAGTCTAAGGTAGAATGTAAGCTTGCTATTTCATCAATTTCATATGTTTAGTATCAAACTTCTTTACATAAGAATATAAAACAAGAGAAGATATCAGAAAATAGCAAGCTGTCTGATCTCACCTGCATATCCTCTGGGAGAGCCTCTGAGACTGCAAGAGTGTAACAACCAGGAACAAATTTTCCTGCCAAAGAGTTACCAGAACAAAAAGGGTTGAAAATTTCAACTATTCTTGAAGAACCAAGTAGAAAAACACACTTTGAAAAGATGGGATTTTGATTTAATTCTGAAAACCCAGATTGTGGACATTGCAAAAATTAAAAAATAAAAGAATAAAAGGAAAAAAAAATGGAATAAGACGTACCGATTCGCAACCAGCGAGCAGCCCAACTTCTAGCTGGATCCATCACTGAGATTATACTATCAAAATAAAAATAATAACAATAATAATAATTTTAACAAGATTCAAGAGCTTAACGAAGAGAAAATCATTAACATTTCGAATTGGAAAGAAATTATAAGATTGAATAAAATACCCATTGAAGTTGGGAGTGGTACAATCGGCGACGCGCTCGTTATCTTCGTCCATCTTGAAGAAAGAGCAATTCTCACATCCCGATTCTCTGAACTGTATAATAAAAAGCAAAACAAGAAATGTTAACGAAGATTAAAGGGAAAATGGGAGCAAAATCAAAGAAATAAACCCTAACATATAATCTAGAAAAAAAAAAAAAGACATAAACCCTAACTCCAGTACTGTAATTGAATCGCAATGAAGAAGAAGAGGAAGAAGAACAAGAAGAAGAAGAAGACCTGATCGTAGGTTTTGACGAGGCGACAGCGGAGGCAAGCCCTGAGCTCGTGGCCGAAGCTCGTCGGGATTTGGGCCGGTGCGATTCCCACTCTCGTGCTTTCCCTTTCCCTATCCATTTCCAATTTCCAATTTCTTTCTTCTTTTCCTTACTATAATGTATTCATATTAAATAGTAGTCTGATTTTTTCTATTACAAATTTCGGTGATTTAAAACTTTGAAATTTAAGAGCATGTTTTTTTGTCTAAAAAACTCAAAAAAAGATAACTCGAGTTTCAACTTTATTTAAGTTCACGTTCTTTTAAGTTTCAACTTTATTCAATTTTACTCAACTTTATTCAAGTTACAACTTCAACTCAAGTTATAACTCAAATTCAACTCAAAAACTACACTCAAGTTACACTCTAAAAGAACAACCCTTAAATTTTTTATAAGAAAAAAACTAAGAATTAGTGACGTAGAGGTTCATTTAGAAATTAAATATAATTAAAAAAGTAATTAAGCATTTAAAATGTGAAAATCATTCTCAAAAATAAAGTATTAAAGAAATTTCTAAACAAGCCTCACATTTTTTTTACTGAAATTAAATTACAAGAAAGTGATGGGAACTTTCGCACTTTCTGATAAAAGAGGTTTAAAAACTGAGCCTCTAGCATCATTCAAGATTCATCCACAGGATATACAATATTGTACATATATGAACATGTGAATAATATTTACAGACATCAACCACAGTCTAAAAATTTAAAGTTTAGAGTCTCAGAATTTACAATCCTTACATTTGTACACAGTGATAATGGGCACTATCCTCACTTGATTGGACGGTAGCAACTACTTCAGCTACTCAGCGCTGCTTCTAGCGTCGTCTGAGAGGGGTTTAATATTTATAGAAACCAAATAAAACATGAGCAGAAGGCTCAGTAGTATGATTTTGAAATAAACTTTATAAACAAGTAAGTAAAATATTTAGTTCCAACACAACAACCGGAACCTAACATTCTTTTTTCTGAAAGGAAGTGTAAACTTTTAATTCCGTATTACACGCATCAGCAAGTAATTTATACTATGATAAATTACTTACACAACCACAAGCACAAGTCTTAACACCACTGTAGTGGCACAGTCTGGGTTTCGGGTTCTGCCCTCGAGGATACTCGCTGCATATCCTATCTAGGCCATCAACAGGTTTACCAGTTTGCAAGATATTTTATCTTAAGAAATCATTCATTAAATCTTTGAAATAGTTTATTATAATTCCAATAGCTAGATTCAAGCTATTGTATTAAAATGCTTTTCTTTCGCAAATATGTTCTTTTCTTTAAAACATTTGTAAGGCCAAAACTCTTTAAAGCATGTTGTCAAAGAAAATGACAAGAAATCCTACCTCTTAAGTACCAAACCTGTTGCTAGCGTTGCGCTATTCTAGCTTCCGCTTCCTCAAAGCCTTCAATCCGGTTCTTCAACTAACATTTACACAAAACAACGCTTTAGGATTTATTTTCATTCCTAAAGCAAATCAATCTCAATTATACACTTTGATTTCCTATTAGTGTGCCTTAATCCAATTCCAAGTTTCATAATCAATTCATGTTTCAAATCATCATTCCAAGGATTTTGATATCAAAACATGGATTAAAGATGTTAATCCATCTACTTTAGGATCACAAATAAAGCTAATTTGGGTTCTCTTTAAAAATCAGGGTCAAAACAGCACTTTAAGGCAAAACAGGTTCAGATCATGTGTGCACCGGTCAACCGGTGACAGAGAAGTTATTCTCCATCAGTCGACCGGTGGGGGGCTGCACAGGATGGCCGACATGACCGATCAGAAGAAAATAAGGCCAAAACCTGCAAATCCGAATTCCAATCCGAAATATTTTAAAGGAAAATTACTAAATCTAGGTTCCAATTACTAAATCAAGTCTAAAGAACCAATTTTTCCCAATTTTCACCATGATTTTACCAAAAATCCATCAAAATCCAATTTAAACTAAAAATAGGTATTTCTAATGAAAAAATTCGAGAATCAAGATAAGTTTTTCATAAATCTTACCCTAAATCCTTTCCTTGATGTTGAAAACTCCTTGAAGTTCCTCTTTAGTTCAAGATTTTAGAAGATTTGATAAATATTTTGAAGAAAGTGAGACAGAGCTACCAGAGAGAGTGAGAGAACGACATAGGGGGAGAGTGAGAGAACGACATAGGGGGAGAGTGAGAGAACGACATAGGGGGAGAGTGAGAGGGAAATTGAGAGAGAGAGAGAGAGAGAGAGAGAGAGAGAGTTGAAGGTGCACGAGAAGGAAAGGAAGAAAAAGAAAGAAAGAAAGAAAAAAAGAAAGAAAAGAAATAAAGAAAAATAAGGATAATTTCAAAAGATATTTATAAAAGTAGACTAAAAAGTGTGTCTACATATACTTTTAGGATGAAAATATAAATACTGAAAATATTTAAATTCTTTGAAAATATTTAAACTTAAATACTAGAAACATTTAATAAACATAATTAGTTAATTACACCAGATTATGCACATTAATAAATTCTAATTATCTTAATTAATCCTGTTTAATTTCTCGAGGTGTTACAAAAACACCCTAGTAGAATCAAGAACTATAATCCTAAATCAAGTAGAACTCTTAAAATAAATGTCAAGACTCTAATTTGACAAATGACAATTATTTATTAAAAAGTCCTTAATAAGAATGACGAGAAATATATATATATATATAGAAATCAATAGGAGCAGATTATGAAAAAAAAAATTATTTGAATAAATACATTTAACATGTGTTTGTTTTATAAGTTAAATCTTTTTACAATATTTTTTCTAATAAATATTAAATTTATGTACAATTTAAACGTATAAACTAAATGGGTCATTAATAATTAAGAAAACTACAATGGGGTATGCTATTTTTCCTCATCAATGAAGCATGTTTTTAGTCTATTGGATCTGCATCCATTGACATAAGCTCAGCATCCATTGACATAAGTGTTGATGATGGAATTTCGTCAACAACACCTTACCGGATTACGCCACGGTAGCCGTTGGGTTACCGGTTTGGAACTTATGATTTCACTGAATGTGCTGGAATTTGTAGTAGGGTTTTTGCTAGGTTGTGAAGTAAGTGAGATTATGCTTATGAAAGTAAGAACGCACATGAATTTTATAGTGGTTCACTCTGTTAATCAAGAGCTATATCCACTGTATTGTATTTCTCTTGTCTTTGTTCTTACAAGTTACATACGCGTAAAAGAAAAATCCATCCCCCTCTCTCTCAGGGGCTCTTCCCTTTTATAGTGGATATTACATGAGTCTCTGCCCAATGGTAGGCGGTTTGGACCATTTGACCGTGTCCTTCATGGGGCCCGCCCACTTGAGTGGCCTATGGCCTCTTTTGTTCAAACCGTAGCCTCCCATTACCTTTTGGAATGTTCACTCATCCAATTTGTCCCCCCATTACGGCTCTGTAGATCCCTGTAATAACTAGTGATCCGTTCCAGGCGGTTTTAAGGGCTTGTAATCATTTCCTATGCAACTGACCTTTTCCAAATCCAGACGCAACCTTGGGATATTCGGCCGATCTTCTCAAGGGTCTTCCTTGGGACGTGGATCTAGTTGCTTGTGCTCTGCCGTCTGCACCTATGCTAACATCTGCCGAGGGTAGCCTTTCCTACGGCCGATTTTATTGTGTTATTTTGCCCGGGCTGGTCTCGTAGACCTCGACTGTGTATAGAGTCGACGGTCTCGGTCTTCTTATACATTCGACTCTCCTGCCATACAAGAGAGACCAATGAGGCTCGGGCGTCGATGGCTAAATGACGTGGCAGGCATGGGGCCACGTGTGGCCTAGTCGTTGTCCGACGTGTCGATGTGAATTTTTTGACACAACAATAAGCTCACCATCCATTGACATAAGCTCACCATTGGATTTGCCGCCATGGGGAGAGGTCGCTGATGAATTCAAGATATGAATGTTCACATCCCCTAGAGGGGTGGGCTGGGGGTCGTTGGATATTTTAACAAAATCGAGACCACTAGTGGAGATGGGGTTCATCGGGGGTGTGACAACCCAGATTAAGATGGCGGTTGTGATTTCGTCGTGAACCATCACAACTGATGCCGTGATTTTGCGTAACTTGTTACGGTTGGGGTCGCGATTCTGTCTTGTCATGACAAAGGTCATGAGCCACAGAGGTGGAGGGATGGAGACCCCCCTTCGTGTGGGTGGCGTTTGTCCATTGCACAACGCCTCCGCAAGAGCATGCCGGACTTTCTTTTTTCTTTTAATATTTTTTATTATTTTGTAATTATGAGATTTGAAAAGGTTGTTATCAAATGTGTTGTGTCCATTTTTTTTTTTCTCATGAGAATGTGATCTGGGACCGAGCTAAACAGTCTAAAAAAGATGTCTCATCAATGACAAATTTAGCTTGCATCACTATGGTCGTGGTTGTAGGCATATTTACGTCACTATAATCGTAATTCCACACCTAATTTTACCCGAAGACGTGGAGTGAATTCTGAGACTAATACGCTTGTTTCGACCAAAACCATGTAAAGAGCGATCAGCTCTTATTATAGAAATTAACTTGACAAAAGAAGCAATATGTAACCAGCAACCAATCTTTTATTTGGCAATATGACAACCATGATCCAACAGACAATCCTAATGCTCGGAACCTGCACATTCTTTTTTCATTACTTTGTTGACAAAGCTCAACGAACATTTACTAATTTGAAAAGAGAAAAAACACGTCTTATGTTCTTCCATTGGACTGGCTGTGCATGAAAATTTCATTGCTTTGACAGACTTCCCCTCTCATGGAATTTAGCTGCTTCTTCAAACCCCATATTCGGATTGTTCGATCGTCACTGGCCGAAGCCAGCATGTGAAGGTTTGAAGGGCTCCAGCTCACGCAGTTCACTGCTCCTGAATGTCCAGGCAGTGACATTATCAGCTCCCCCGAGTCCCTGTGCCATATATACACCTGCATCCATAAAAGAAAAAATTTCGGCATCCTCTAAACAATAGTCCTTTTAACTCGAGAGTCGAAAGGAATTCTGAGGGTTGGTATAAAAAATATACTCTAGCTATAGTAATGTTTCTTTACCGTTAGATTTTTATCGAATTCCATTAAATATGCTTTCTTTTTTAAATATGCTCAATTCTTGTATTGTATACAACTTGAAGTTAAAAACCCTCCTAGTAGGTCCATCCCATCTAAGAAGGCCCTTAACTGAAACCACGCACTTGTAATCATAATCGAGCCTAGTTTCTCATCAAACAATATATCTTATCAAAAGGGTACCTGTGAATCCTCACTCCCGCTTGCTACAAAAGCTTGCCCTAATCCACCAAAGCAAGATCGGATGACAAACCGAGCACGTTTGTGACCTTTGTACTTGGCCACAACCTTAATCTCTCCCTCTATGTTCCAGAGATGGATTTCTTGGTTTATGAGATTGACAAGCAGGAACTTGCTGTCCTTGGACAATGAGAATGAAGTGATAGTTTCCTCCTCCTCAATCACCCTCTCAAAATTTGCCTCCCTATCAAGTAATAGTATTGCAGTTTCTCTGCATACGCTAATGATCTTCCCATCCCCTGTTACAGCCATATCGGATATCTTAAGTGTTCGCTGCCCTTTCCAACACTCCAGCTCTCTTCCATCTAAATGCCACAGACAGATACTCTTGTCACTCATCCCAGAGAATATCCCACGACCATCCGCAAACCATCCACAGGAAATCAGGCCAACACCATTTTTTTCATACACATGGAGGCATTCCCCAGAACTGACATCCCAGCGTCTAACAACCTCCTCCAGTCCACATGTTAGCAGCTGATGGTCATCAGGGCTCCATGAAACGACTAAAACTGGTTTCCGATGACCAGTCAATACATGTTTCAAGGACACATGACCATCCTCTTTAACCTATAAAGAAACACATGCCGATTTATTTAAATATGCAATAGTCTGACTGAGAAAGCATATCAAGAAAGACCATAGTAGAAAGAGAACAAAGTACTATGAAGTTAAGCCGTCTCTGTAAACGATGCCATTTCTTTTTGGATTAATTACAAAATTTCTCCTGGAACTATGGCCCTTATAACACTTTACCCTCTGAACTTTAAAAAGTAACATCCATTCCCCCGAACTTTGTTTTTTAACAACTTTACCCTTTCTATTACATTGAGTGACGGAATTTGTCACGTGAATGGCATGTGATCCATATAAGGAGGTATTATCGTAAAATGACCTTTAAGAGACCCTTTTTTTTTTTTTTTTTTTTTTTTTTTTTTTTTTTTTTGAGGGGGTTCTTAAAGAATTTGGGTTTTTTTTCGAATGGGATCATTAAGAGACTTAGGTTATGAACAAAAGTGGAAAAAAATAAACTCAAAATAAAGGTTAAGTCTTGACATTTGGATTTTTAGGGTTAGAAGTCTGCCCAAAACCAGAAAAAATTTAGAGAGATTCAAGTTTCATTGTAAAAAACTTGTTGAATCAAAATGGGGAACGGAAGAATAAAAATGAGAGATTATCTGATTAGGAGGATAGAAGTGTAATTGCACACTCAATTCTCACCAAGAGCAGCTAAATAAGTGACACGTGGCAAATTCTGTCACTCAATGTCACAGAAGGAGCAAAGTTGTTAACAGAATAAAGTTCGGGAGAACGGGTGTTACTTTTTAAAGTTCAGAGAGCAAAGTGTTACAAGAGTTATAGTTCGGAGGGAATTTTTGTAATTGATCCTTTCCTTTTATATGCCAAGAAGTCATTAAACACCGTAGGGATCTTATAGGAACCACAAACATACATAGCCAAAACCCTGTAAACATGCTTCCATTTGCTGTGTCCTACATTCTACTTGACATTTAAATGAAAGCATCTTTGTGCAAAATATATGAAAACCTCATATACTGTTTGGGGGCTTCAGATAAAAAATTAAGCAAAAGAAATATAAAGCGAAAAGTAGACTCAGCCGAGCACTCTCCATCACTGAATTGATACTAATACTTGGATGAGCGCAGGGTCAATAGATATTCCTCTTGGTAAAAAGAGAACTTTAAACAAACAAAATACGGGACAAATCATACGCATCAGAACAATCAGCAGAAAGGCCCATGTACAGACATGCAGAACGACAAGTTCTAACGAGAATTTTAAATTATAACTCAAGTAGCTTACACGCACTCACACTATAAAGATTAAAAGAGAAAGGACATTTTCATAATCAGTAGTCAAAGGCAATAAACAGCATGTTACCTCCCATATCATTGCTGACTGATCTTTCGATGATGAAGCTAAATATTTTCCATTATGCGAAAACTGCAGAAACCATACTTCATCACTATGTCCTTGCAGTATCTGTCACATCAGATGGACAAGGAAGCAACTGGTAAATATAAAGAATTTAGGAGGGAAAAAATGAACCAAAAATGGTGGAAAGAAAACAGTGAATATTCCTTGTTAGTTGAGGTAAACTAAGCATGAAAGACCATAGTGGTTCGAAAAGAAAGCACAAATTCAGCCGTTATGCAAAAACTTTTGACTGATGATGACTAGAATTATGCAAATTACTTTATAGTTGCGATAACTACAATACTACAATGATTATCATATTTTGGTAATGATCTGAATGATAATAGTAACGAGTGAAAAAAGTTAAAGTTTACATTGTAACTAATATGAATGAAGATGATAGAGAGGCTTGGTTAGAGACCTACCTAGGGATACAATTTCATTTGAGAAGTCAGCACCCTATACCCTCTTTGACAAATATATTAGGAATCAAACCAATGTAAATGTCAAACATGATAAGTTATAAAACTAAGTAATGAGAAAAATTAAACAAAAACCTTCTTGATGAGTAATCATGCCTAAAAACAAAATTTACATGAGAATTCTTCCAGATCATTATTAGATTTTGTCCCACGAAAAAAATCAATTTGTCCTGTTAAAATCCTATCTTAAATAGGGAACAAGATCAGGTGCTTTTCAAAGTTTGTCACCAGGACATGACGATCTTGCAGCGAGAAACTATTGGTACTGATGTCTCTGTCAGTACAGTCTTGAGGAAATACTTCCTTCTTTGCATAAATGAGCAGCATGATAAAATTCAAATACGTTGCAACAGCTATTAACTATAACTTTTAGTAAGTTCAAGATAACATATTTATAGTGGTAATTCAGAAGACATGAGATTTTGATTGCAAATATTATTTCTGCTCATATTGGGAGAGAGAGAAGTGAATTTGGTTAATGGTGAAAAAGAAAAAAATCCAAACGGGGTTGTATGAAAACTGATAGGTACTAAGAAGAGAAATTAGCGGACAATTTATATATGACTTTCTTAAACAAAAAAAAAAAAAAAGGGTTCCACAAAAGAGGCGGATTTGAAGGCAGCAACTTGGAAGAAAGGATTACTTCTTGGGTGGCTAACCAAATAAAGTAATAGTTCTGATGCTACCTTAATCTACTGTGGGTTTGTCTGCCCTACTTGAGGCGCCGCAATGAAACTTATCAAGCATTAAAAAATTGTTGGCAACCAGCAACACTAACCCAAATGCTGAGCAAAACAGGCATGGAAAAATTACAAAGTTTTGCTTCCTATCCAGATGGTGCCTTGAGTTACAAAGGGTCCGTTTTGTTCACACGTTCAAGTCAGTGATTCTGATTCACTGGCAAGAATTTTGTAAGAGAATAAATTTTTGAATTCAAATTCTTTGAGAGATGAAAAACATTGTAATAGAATCAGAATCATGGGTTCAAGTATAGGAACCAAACTAGGCATAAGCTTCTGGCCAAATGAAGCATAATACATCGCACGAAAAAAAAAAAGAAAAAAAAGAAAAGGATCCATCAATCCAAGAGTACCTGTAATGTTTGGTTCGGAATGTGGTTTCTTCCACAATGATGATCTGAATACAAAGAAATATCAACGTCCAACGTATTATGAAACGCACAACCATCTCGTTGCACATCAAGAGCCTGCTCAACTAAGTGTTCTAACCTTCTCTCGGGTATCATGACAGAAGCAGGAAGCAACTTATGCAATTTTTCAAGCAGCTTTGATCTTGACTTTGCAACATCCATATCTTGACTCAAAAGGCCAAGGGTTAAACATTTTGAAGGAGCAATCACAGATGCAGCAAGTTCATGAACTTGACTGATGTTGATGCGAAGAGGCACGAGTTCATTTCTTAGTGTACTTAAGGCGGCATTGTACTGCCCGATTTTCAGAAGCTCAAGGAACTTCTGCTCCAATATCAAGAAAGTTGCTACCTTGACAGAGTTTTCATCTAAGAGATCAATTTTCTGCAATGTGGCTAAACTATCATCCCATTTTCCATCAACAACTTGTTGCATAAACTCATTAACTACTGACGAGCGTAATGGTATCCCCGACTCTTCCTCTAGAATGGCCCCGCTCTTGTTATATCCAAGTGAGTACAATGCCCTTGTTATGATCTTGACAAACTCCGATTTCTTTATGACACCCTTAGACCCAACTATTTCTCCATCTCCTTGGGAGGGCAGAGATCTGGCCATCGAATCTCCCAGAGAGCAAATCACAAGGTTTCTAAGAGATGAATCTTCTAAGAAGCTCTTCGATCCTCCCAAGGGCAATTTTACACGTTTCAAAGGCGGTTCAGTGTCCTCTACACCTCCCATGAAATGCCAAACTCAGTCCATATATCCTCTACAACTCAAAAGCAACATAATTTAATAAAACAATTCTCAGTAAGAAGCAACCAAATTCTTACACTTTATTACAAACGTTTGTATTTTTTCCCAAGAGACTTACAATTTAATGGGAGGAAACACAATGATGAAAACTATTTTAACAATGTCGTGATACAAAAATCTCCAGGTGAAAAACATTATTTCCCACAGACGCTATTGCAGAGGAAGGAACCAAATGCTGATCAATAACCGAGAATCTATTCAATTTCACCTAAAGTCAAGTCCTAAAATAACTGCAGCACCATGAAATATGATCAAGCTTGTGGCCACATTGGACAATACTAGTGATTACAAAAATTGAAAAACATGATTCCAAAAGAATGTTTTAGTCACTGTATGGGGATTCCAAAAGAATCAAGTTTTTATTATAATTTTAATTCACATGGTTCTCCTAAATAAGCACAAAAATCCAAGAATTCCCTCCACAGCCAAATCCAAATTATTGAAGGAAAAAGTTATCTATTGATATAATAGAATCATCAAATAATATAAATAAGCAAAATCCAGATCTTTTTTCTTACCAGAACTGAGATGTCCCAAACAAGGAGAAATGAGAAATACCCACAAATCAAAATTGAGAGAAGAAGGGAAAGAAAAAGAAATCGTCGGCTCTGCAAACAGAGAAAGCGTCAAGGGGGAAGAATATGGAGAGTTGAAAAAGGAGCACCGAAAGTCATATGCATAGAGAAGTGTGTGAGAGAAAGATATCAGATATATTATCTACAGATAGATTGAATGTAGATGTAAATCCTGTTTGGGATTTTATTTTTAATTTCTACTTTTTGGCAGTTGGCGAAGAAAGAGGATTATAGAGAGAGAGAGAGAGAGAGAGAGAGAGAGAGGAAAAGAGGAGAGAAAGAGAAGCGTATTTTAATACACAAGTGGGCACTTGTGTTACGTGTTTACGAGTTTTTATTGTCCATTACGTTCCTCTGCATCAAGTCTATAGAATATACGTTCCTCTGCATCAAGTCTATAGAATATAAGAAGACGTTTAATTCACAGATTTAAAATTATAATTTAAAATTATTTTTAATTTATGTATATTTTTTATAAAAAAAATATTATAATAAATTATAAATTATAATTCGAATCATGACACGAATTATTATACTAAATACCATGTAAAACTCGCAAACTTTACGTAATAAATATGCAATACATTTCGATGCAAAAGCCTAATACTTGGCCAAAGGACCAAATGAACTTTCGACATGTTCTCATTCAACAGAGTTTAATATGCTTAAGATGCACGATAAATATGTAAAAGTTTTACCCAAAAAAAGTTAAATATGTAAACACACACACACACACATATATATTATAACGCTTCTAAGCATATGGTAAGTTTACTGAATTTTTTTTTTGGCTAATAAAATATGGCATTAGATATGAAAATTGAGACATGTAGTCAGCTAGGAATCTTTGAAATATACAAATAGTATTAAGAAGAGTTTTTATACCTTATAATAAAAAGAAAAGAAAAAAAAAAGACTCATATTTGCAACAAATATTGGACCTTTGATTCTAATTATAATTCCAAAGATCCTATCCTCCAGTTTCTTAAATAAAGGATTAACAATTCTCACCGCTTTGGACAATGGAAAAAAAAAAAAAAAAATTACACCATGTTCTTCTATGGAACAAATATTTCCTTCATATCAGACAAAAAATACTCGAAACTTTGGGCCAACTCAGCAATAAATCGCAACAACTAATTCAGCTGCTTATGCGGCCAAAATTGTAGTCTAGGAAGAAATGCTTGAGGAAGTACAACCGAAAAAAAAAAAATAATAATGATGATAAGAAAACATAAAAAAACAACTAGGATGTGGCTACACTGTTTGCCCTTTCCCTCACCATTGTCTTGACAAAGAGCTCCCCTGCCCTATATGACGATCGAACCTGAAATGTTATAATACATTTGTAAGGCCGTTCCTCTAAGGACCACTTAACTGAGCTCAAAAACTATTGTCATGAAGAGCTTGACAATCAAATCAGTGAAAAACAATAAGAAAATAAAATAGAAGGAGCTTAGTGCATGCGAAGAGCTTGACAAAATGACATATATATTACATTTGTCATCGACCGAATATAATATTCCATTGTATGATTATGTGAAAGCCAGACATAATATTACATTGTATGATTATGTGAAAGCCAGACATAATATTCTGTTTTATTTTTTATATTATTTAAAAAAAAATAAAAAAAAAAGTTCAAACCATGCTTTCATCTAGATTACTAAAGGACGTTTGGTTGATGGATTCACAATCATGATTCAGAACCATTCTCGATTTAAGTATGTCTTTTGTGAGAGAAAACACTGTAACGGGCCATGAATCATGATTCGAACCATGGTACGAATCCTTGAACCAAACGCAATGTAAGTCTTTGAGGAATACCATACATAATTGTTACCACATAAACGGGAAGGAACAAAGAACTTACCAATGGCCCGCTAGCTACATAGCGGAATCCAATAGACTCCCCATATTCCTTCCAGAAAGCAAACTTCTCAGGCGTAACATATTCTTTGACAGTCAAGTGTAGTGGAGTTGGCTGTAGCAATTTATACAATTTAGCTTTAAAGCGATAGCACAAAAAGTATGGGTGTATTAACTTACATGTAAATCAGATTAACTAACTTGTAAGTATTGTCCAAGCGTCAATATATCAACATCTATATCCCTCAAATCGGCCATGGCTTCCTTCAATTCGTCGTCTGATTCACCGAGGCCCAGCATTATGGAAGATTTTGTTATCATACCCTCCTTACTGACCTTTGCATGTTTCAAAACAGATAAACTCTGCTCATACCTGTATTATTGCACTCATAATCAAAATCTCAAATTTTAGAGAGAATATGAACTCCAGCAAACGCTCTTCAACAAATGCCTAAATAATTAGAACCATCCTGTAGGTAATAGCAAAAAATACCAAACATACAACTGAATTCATTTTATATCTCTTTAAAATCATTGAAAGTGGGAGAACATGGAGCGTGGACACTTTTCCCTTTTCTTTTGGTTGATTTCTCAGACAAGCTTGTCCAGCCATAAGAAAGCCGTTCAAATTTGTCATAGCATAAAACAGAAATGCTCAAGAGTGAAGGCATCAACATAATTAGAATCGGGTATCATGTTTGTCACACTTTTAGCACAAATGTCTTTCATTTCTCACACCAATCTCACTAGACCAAAGACATGTAACCTCGGCTAATTTTTGACCAGCTAACACTAGCACCAGCAGTGGTAGAAGTAAATCGTCAAAGCAGATTGGACTCTATAAGAAATGTGTTTAAGCAGAAATACACAATGTACATTGATAATAGATGTTCACCCGAATCATATTTATCGGACCTATTTATAACTTCCAGAATGCAGCACGAAGAATTCATAAGAGTCTTTCATACCACAATGAGAGAAAAAAAAAAAAAAGAAATATCATAAAAAAAAACTACAGGATAAAAAAGGAAAAAAAAAAAGTTATTAAGAAAATTAGTACTGCAGCTCACCCAGCCCGAGGGTCTCGAACAATTCTTTGGAGCCGTTTGACGGTCTCAACGTTGTGTGCAAATACATCTAGTCCCGAGTGAACCAAAGTGTCCACAGCACTCAAGTCACCTCGAAAGTCGGAAGTTAAACACTCAACCATCAATTCAGGCTTAAGATTCTGCAAAAGAGAATTGCATAACCACAGAATCAATATCCCAACGTCAGTCTCCTTTGTGCTAACAGCATAATATATGCAGTTAACAAGCTCAACAAAATGAAGTGAAAGCAACCAAATAGTATAACTAGATAGATGAGACACCTTAAGGGCTTTGACAGTCTCAGCAAAATGACCACTTCCACCATCAGGCAGGTCGTCACGATCAACACTTGTGAGAACAATATAATCCACACTGCATAATTCATTTAAAAAAGCATAAAAAAATACAGCATCAGAATTATCCCAAGACCATTAAATACTTCTACCAAGGCAAACAAAACCACAGGTTCCACAACTTAAAACAACATTGCAATTGCAAACTACCCACATGCCGAGAGAATTGAAGTATCATGGGGCGGGCCCACACGACGTGATAATTACAAGTTTAATTCAATAAGATTACCAAGCCAAATTATCCTATGAACAAATTGGATAGTTAACATTCAGGGTTGAGACAAATTCGTTTATCATATGTCAGCTAAAAACACCAGGGTCTAAGGTAAACACCTTAAAGTTGAATAGCAATTCTAGGTACCATTTATCACCTCTAGTTTTATATTTATCCCCAATTCCAGTGTAAATTCTATAAGGTGTATAAAATTTCCAAAAAGAAAAAAACAAAAACAAAAACTCCCTCATGTTTTATCGAGATGTTGCAGAGATGGGTACACGAATCCGAAAAACACAGAGTGGAACGCAGCATTTCGACAAAATATAGAGGAAAATTTTATTATTATTCTTGAACAGCACGCATTAAAATACATTGAAATGCAAACTTTCACTTTTACATGAAAATTAAGGATTGGTTGAGATTCTCAAGTAGCGACAGTGATAAATACTTTCATCATTCTTCTAATCCAAAAATAAAAAAGTTCTAGTTTCCAATGTTTGTGCACACAACAGTTTCACATAATTGAATGAAGCAATTTAAGTACAATTACCCCCAAGAAGCAATGGCAATGGCGGTGTTGAGAGGCTCCATGGGATCAGGCGGGGGAGGGTTTCTGCTAGTCTTGACGGCGCAGAATCTGCATCCGCGGGTGCAGGTGTCACCGAGGAGCATGATGGTGGCGGTGGCGACGCCGTCTCCGCCGCCATTCCAGCAATCGCCGATGTTAGGGCACTGGGCCTCTTCGCAAACGGTGTGGAGATTCAGTCGGGAGAGAGAATCCTTGACCTGGTCGAACCTCTCCCCCTGAGGAGCTCGCTGCTTCAGCCACGCCGGCTTCTGGACGCTCGGGTCCCTCCCGGTGTGGGGTCCGAGTCCGACCTTCGTCTTCGCCGGCAATGGCTTCGAGTCCACGGCCTCGCAGAGGATTTTGGAATGGCGAAATTGGGGGTTGGGAAATGGTACGGAGAGAGAAGAGGCAGAAGAAGAAGAAGGAGAAGAAGATGATGATGATGGTATGGGAAAACGGTGGTGGAATTGCTGAAGCATTGTTCTGTGTTTGAATATTAACTGGGAATCGGAAAAAATTACACAGAAGAAGAAGAAGAAGAAACAGAAGAAGAAGAAGAAACAGAAGAAGAAGAAGAAGAAGAGGGCGTTTTGTATTGTGTGGTTAATTGGGTTTGATTCTTTGAGATCTCCGTCGCTTCGCAACGCTGTTTTTTCAGTGTTATGGTTGGTTGAAGCTTTTTGGTTTATTGTTTGTTGGTTCCAACTCCCAACTTCCACATGGACTTCTTGCAATAAAATAGACCCCCATTTGAACACCAATAAGAGATTTGGCATGGTTTAATTTGAATTAAGATATAATTTTATGTGAAAATTTTTTATTGTAAAAAGAAAAATTAAATGTGATTTTTTATAAAATTTTTAATTTTATTAAAATTTAAATTAAAAATTCAAATTAATAATATAAATGAGATTTTAAGTCTTGATTTATTTTTTAAATTTAAAATTTTAATTTAATTGATTATTTGGTTGAAGAATTCGTAACCCGATTTGAATGATGGTTCATAATTTGTTACAGTGTTTTTTCTTACAAAAAATACACGTAAATTAAAAATAGTTCTAATCTTATAATTTTAATTTATGAACCAAACATCTCTTAAGTTAAAGTTAAGATGTAATTTTTTAAAATTTTTAATTGTAATAAAAAAATTAAATATAAAATTTTTTGAATATTTTTAATTATAAAAATTTAAAGTTTAAAATTAAAATGAGTAAAATGGAGGCGGCCTTCACCTCTTTTAAAAAAATGTAATTAAACAATCTTTTTTTCAACTTATTTAATATGAAATGACTAAAAAACACCTAAGTCAAACCCAAAATCAAAATCCCTAATAAAACACTCAAAATCCCTAATGAAACACTCAAAATCTGAAATCTCTGTCAACTTTCTTCCCTCCCTCCTCCACTCCTCTCGCTCTCTTGCTCTCAACACACCAGGGCATTCCAGACCGGAACGACCGGCCGCCTCCCCCCCATCACCGCCGTGCGTTGTCTCCCGTCGCCGTCGTCCAGATCAGGAGAGCCGCCGCCGTCCAAAATACTCATACATTCTCCCTCTCAACAGTACCAAACCTGTCCAAAAAGCTGTGAGTGGTTCAAATTTGTATTTGTGATTTTTTGTGTGTTTCTTCAAGTAATTATCAAAGCTTAAAGATGTAGTGATAATGTAAGTTCGTGAAACAAGGAGTGATAGACTTTTTGAACATTTATTAAGTTTGTTAAGCACCTTCGTAGATGATAAAACCAAAATGGTATTTTCACAAGTAAAGAAAAAAAACATCACTATGTGATTCAATTTAATTGATATCAAATATTTATTTTTGATGGAGATGTACACAATGCTGCAGATTTTAGAAAAAAACTAACATATAATTCATATCTGAAGCATGTTATTCTTGTTGGGATTTAGTGTGAACGTCTTTAAATTTAGAAATTTTAAGTCAATGTTTTAGGGATTTATTTGTTCATACATAAATAAGATTGCCCTCAAGGATGCAAAAATGAGGATTCGGTGATGATATTTAGTGTCGTTAATTTGTTATGTTTATTGCTATAATGTTCTGTATAGTTGTTACCATAGTGTTCTGCATAATTTTTTTGAAGCATAACTTTTGGTAGAGTTGTTCGCATCTATTTGACATTGAAGCTCTAGTCTTGAGCCAACAAAAAGACATTAAAGTTCTAGTTAGCCATATTTGATTATTGACTATCACTACAACAATAAGGGCCATCTGTGACGACATTTGTCGTCGCAAATAATACCATATTTGCGACGACATGTCGTCTCAATTACTTCCCGTTAAATAAAATAACCATGTTGCCGCTAATAACTTCAATGTCGTCGCAAATAATATTAGCGCGCAAATTTCAATGGCGCGGATTTTTGGCGCCAAGGTAATCCGTTTTTTTGCGACGATGAGTCATCACAAATCTCTAACTATTTGCGACGACATTTGTCGTCGCAAATAATTTAGATTATTTACGACGACATTGTTTTCTTGTCATCGCAAATAATCTTATTTCACGAAAAAGTAGGCACGGGAAAAAATAATTATTTGCGACAACAACAAAATTATTTGCGGCGAAATAATGTCGTCGCAAATAATTAACAGTTGTTTATTATTTGCGATGACATTTTAAATTTATTTGCGACGACAATGTCGTCGCAAATAAATCTGACCTAATATACTCTATTTTCTTCTTCTTCATTTTCCCCCGACGCTCTCTCTCTCTCCTGCAAAATCTCTCTCTCTGCCTTATCTTCCCGTCGCTGCCGCCCCCGTTGCCGGCTTCTCTCTCTTCCTTTTCTCTCTCCCATTGTCTTTCTTCCCTTCTCTCTCTCTCTCATCCCTTCTCTCTCTCTCTCTCTCTTTCGCTCCCTTCTCTCTTTTTCCCCTCTCCTGCCGCCGTCGCTGCCCCCCGCCACCGTCCCTCCCCTTCTCTCTCTCCCCTTCTCTCTCTTCCGTTCTTTCTCTCTCTCTTCCCTTCTCTCTCTCTCGCTTCCGATCCCTTCTCTCTTCTTTCCCTTTCCTGCCGCCGCCGCCGCTCCCGCCGCCAGGATTGCATAGATGTTGGTTTTCTCCTTTTTTTTCTTTTTCTAATTTTTGTTTGGTTGCCGAGAAAATGCAAGAAGAAAACGGATTAACTTAGGATTAAGTATGTGTTTCGATTGAGTTTCGAGAATTTAGATGCTCTAGGAGTTGAATATTAGAGATTTTGTTTGAAAATTTTGTTCGAATTTAGTCATTTTTTATGGTTCCGGGAATGTGAAAATTTAAACTTGCATTGATTAATTAAGAATTGTGTCTATATGTTACTTTAGATATTAATAAAATGTTAATTTTGGTGTTTGAAAATTATGTTTGATGTTTTAATTTGATGTAGGCGTTTGATTTTTCGCATTCGTCCTTATTTGCACGGTTACTCCGACGTAATCCTGCTATTTTCAGCCCCCGTTTAGTGGGTTTGAACTTTGTAAGTTTTTTATATTTATTTAGTTTAAAATTGTAGTAGTTTTTGGTTGTATGAATTCGGGATTATGATGACAATATTTGAATTATGATTTTCTTATATTGTTAAAATTTGGGTTCGTTTGGTTGGATGATTCAAACCATGTGATTCGAACCATTTTTGATTTACGTGTATTTTTTGTGAGAGAAAATACTGCAGCGAACCATGAATTATAATTCGAATCAGGGAACGAATCCCTCTACCAAACGTCCCCTGAGTATATGTTTATGATTCTTGTTTTGGGTGGCACATCTTCCAGCTATGGTGTGCCGAAATCTTTTAAAGTTATTTTTCTGCAGGTTTTGATTTTTGAATCATATGAAAAATAAATCGTTATGTTGCCGAAATTTAGTTACTCTATATGTTACTCTAGATGTTAATAAATTGTTAATTTTGGTGTTTAAAAATTATGTTTGATGTTTTAATTTGATATAGGCGTTTGAGTAGACGTTTGATTTTTCGTTTTCGTCCTTGTTTGCACGGTTCCTCCGATGTAATTCTTCTATTTTCAACTCTCGTTTAGTGGGTTTGAACTTTGTAAGTTTTTTATATTTATTTAGTTTAAAATTGTAGTAGTTGTATGAATTTAGGATTATGATGACAATATTTGAATTATGATTTTGTTATATTGTTGAAATTTAGTATATGTTTATGATTCTTGTTTTGAGTGGCACATCTTGCAGCTATAGTGTGCCGAAATCTTTTAAAGTTATTTTTTTTACAGGTTTTGATTTTTGGATTATATGAAAAATAAGTCGTTATGTTGTCGAAATTTAGTTAAGAAATCAGAATTTTAATAAGTTCATTAACACACTGTAATTAATAAAACTTAATTGTGTTAATTAAGAGTAAAATTAAAATTAATTAAACACATTAATAAATTGTTATGTCTGTTGTCGTTTATAGTTGAAATGTCGATTGACAAAAGTTAGACTTATTTGAGAAACCGATTGTCGGATTAATATTGGAATGAGTTATCTGCTTTTATTGAGGTTGCCAAAAATTATGTAATTTCAATTGGCCATATCAGCTGTCCTTGTATGAAATGTAGAAATCATGAAATGCATCCAGTAGAAACTGTGAGAGCGCATATACATCGATTTGATTTTGATCCATTGTATAGTACATGGATTCACCATGGTGAAGTAGAAGCGGTTTCAGGTGTCGACCCAATAGTTAATCAACCAGTAGACGAGATTGTTACAGTCTTAGAAGACGTTGCTGGGATTAATGATGACCATAGAATGTTGGATGAGACGTATGTTGCTCGGATCTCGTACTCTCAACATCGCAATAAGAAGGTTAGTACTTATTTTTTTACTTCATTATCGTATTTATATGTTTGTGATCCTTGTTCTGGGTGGCACATTTTGCAGTTATGGTGTGCCGAAATCTTTTAAAGTTTTTTTTACAGGTTTTGATTTTTGGATCATATGAAAAATAAGTTGTTATGTTGTCAAAATTTAGTTAGAATTTAAGAATTTTATCAAATATAATTTATTTGACAGGCTAGTACGGAGACCCAAGAGCTGATGTCTGTCATAGACAATTGGGCAAACATGCATCGTCGCGGGGCCTCTTGGGTTAATATCAAAGCAAAACAGACTTTCGTAAGTATTTTTACTTTTCATATTAAATTTTTTTATACTGAAATAGTGGTTTTATAACACGTAAAAACTATTATAATGTCTTATTATGTAGAACACCCTGAAGGAGGAGAGACAAACGCGTAGAGGACATAAGATAAGAGTGGGTCCGATGCTCTCCTAAAAGCATTACTCCGGGGCTTCTCCTTCATCTGCTGGTTCATACTCGAACGCAACATCATCGGCTCAACTTGACCCACGTGTGAGTCGTTATTTAAAGAAATCATACTGGGAACAAATGAAGATTTATGACAATCAGGTGAAGATGTTAGAGTTGGTATCTAAATTGCAGCCTAACATTCAATTTCCTACGATTGATCGTCCAGAACCAATTGACCTAGACGCTTTTAATTTGCCTTCTTCAGATGATGACAGTCCTGATGATGATTCAGCTGTTGGCGATGCTATATACTTAGACGATTAGTTTCGTTATATATATTATTTTATTTTTCACTTTATTTAGACTTTTATATTTTTTTTGAACATTATATATGCATTTTATTCATAATATATTTTTATAAA